ATGATGAATGAATCTTGAGTGTAGATTTATGATTACTAAGAATATACCCAAGATTCTAGTAGGTGTGTTAATAAACGAGAATAGCACTTGGTTAACAGAAGCGTATTTATTATTGTAGAAAAATGTTAGTTATTTTCACAAATGTATATTTTAAGTTTAGTGTTAAAAGTTAAAATTATAGACTCACAGTATAAAGAATATGCCAAAATACGTAGGAAATAATCTTAAAGGTTTAATTAGATAACAGCAATTATTAAGTAAGAGAAAAATGAAAGAGTGACTGACTAGAAAAACAGTGTCCTCAGCCTTTATATAATGTACCACTAAAGTCATAAACGGGGATTGGCGTCCTGAATGTGTCATACTTTTTATAGGCACATTCAGTCATCATTCCATATTTCAATTATATTTTAATTTCCTTTTTTTAGTACTTTAGTGGTGCCTGGAAGACGGCACGAAAGACAATGATTCACGTTTATTTTATAGTTGCATAAAAGTTAATACCATATGTGTAATTGTGTTAACGTATTCTTTTCTGTGGTCTTACAGAATATTACACTTTAAAAGCGTGTTTTCTAGTTTTTTTAAACTATATTTATTTTTCACTTTTTTGTTTAATGTTATGATAGTAGTTACTATCAATATCATGGTTATAACGGGTAACGGGAAAACAGGGTTTGATTCCGGAGAGGGAGTCTGAGAAACGGCTACCACATCCAAGAAAAGCAGCAGGTGCGTAAATTATCCACTCTCGGAACGTGAAGGTAGTGACAAAAAATGACAATACGGGAATCATCCTTTGTAATCGGAATGAATACACTCTATATCTCTTAATGAGAATAAAGCGTGTTAATATATATTTTTAATAGTAATTAGAATATATATATACATGTAAAGCGACTTAAGTACGTAAACGTATCATGCACAAGGTATAGCTGTGTTTTGTGAGCGGGCGGGGCACGGGGGAACGTTGTACGCGAGGCATTTGTGGCGGCTGTAGGAATATATATACACAAACATACTATTATTAATAATATTATTATATTACATATATATAGTAAGGCGACATAAGCACATAAACGTATCATGCACTAGGTATAGCCTTGGTTTGTGGTCGGGGGGAACGTTATACCTTAGGTAAAAACGGCGTCAGCGGCGGTAGGAATATATAAATTTATATATTTGGTCAATCAAAATAAAAATTTGTTTATATATATAATTGAAAATAAAATTTTACAGGAAAATATTGTTGTTCATGAGTAGTGAGCGGGGTGTGGTGAATGCGTTACGACAGTAGCATTTTACACAATTTACTAGGTATTTAAACTAGAGTCTAATTAGTATTGAATATTAACATTGTTTCCGAAATACGTATCAGCGACTTTTCATTAATTTTTTGTAGCTTTGAGTTTAATATTCTTAATATTTTTAGATTTTATAAATTAATAATATTTATAATATAGTTTTAATTTTACTTAATTAACTAGCAACAAGTGATCAATTTGTATTATATAAAAGCTTTATATTGCTTAAAAATATTTATATTCCGAACCCAATTTAATTTAACCCAAAAAGAAGAAATTTCAATAGCTAGTATTTGTATATTTATTATTAGATTATACGTAAGAGCTTGGTTTAATGAATCACTTGCTTCTAATACACCATATCACGATTTAAATTTTTTAAAAGATTTGGTAAATTATCAGTCAATAGATAAAAATATATCAGAAGTTACAGTTAAAAAAATTGTGGTCATTTATGGTATCTATCGCCAGAGAATACGGTATTCTCACTTTTTGATACTAATGTTCCATTTATACAAAGAGAAAAATTATAGCTGCTCTAAAAATCCATACAGATGATGATGTACCAAAAAAATATTTATTGAATACAATAAAAACTACTGGAATATTAAATAAAAATCTTGAAGATTTTATTTGTGGAAAATCAATGCAATTTTTCAAACGTTTTAATATAGATACTAGTTTTCTGGTCATTATGGATCACTGATGTAAATTTCAAGATATCAATAGACCTTATCAATTATTGTAGTGAATGATATAGCTGAAAGGGGTGTTAAAGTAATGAAAGAGTTAAATACGAAAATAACAAACGATGAAAAACAAAAACAATATTTGCTTTAAGTAGTAAATGATTACCGCAGTAAATATCCAGATTTCAAAATGAGTACTCATTTAGATAATTAGTTGAATGATTAATTTTTTATTTTTATATTTACTGTGTTTCTGTAAATTTTTTAAAAAAAATTTTGGTATTATAAAATTAACACTGAATTCACTTTATTTTGTGAGTTTTTTACAACAAAATAATTTATATATTGACTTTTTATACATAAATAATAAGTAAATCAAAAGAGTGTTCAGAATATAATTTGTGTAAAACATTATTTTAAACAATTTTGTTGTGAATCAATTATTTCACGCGCTGAACTAAAAAAAACAATAAAAAATATACGGTTATCCAAAATTTTTGAGTTTTCAAACTTTAGGCCTTTTGTGGCACGGGTTAATCTTTTCTGATTTACCTGAAACATTGCGTACCTCATTTTTATAAGTATTGGAACTAATTGAGATTGTATAATTTTAGAAAAGTTAAGTTTTTAAAATGATCCCTATTCACTAAAACCACCCTAATATATATAGTTAAGTTATATTTTATTATTCTGTGAATTTTAGATTATGCGAGTATTCCTGATGTTATACATACTGAATTAGAGAGATTTAACGGTATGATTGATAGAAATCAATGGGATTTAAATAGATGCTCTGAAGATTATTATAACATCATTAAAACATTAGATATATTCAAGGACGAAAATAAAAAAAAATTAGAAACAAATATTAAATATTGTCTTCGGCAATTTTACAAAGATCTACGTCCTACTGAGGTAAATATAGTTAAAACATGTATTATTTAATAAAACAAAATTTGAAATTCGTATGAATCCATATTATAATAGTAGGAAAAAATAGAGAATTCTGGGCCCCGCACTTCGCCCCTTAACCATCTGATGGTATGACGGTGATAGGGGGAGGGGAATGCTTGGTCTCTTGATGGAAGGTGTAAGGGTAGGCGTGTTATCATGATGGTGGAGGTAAGGTGTGTTAAGGTCATACAAAACGGCGGGGGTTAAACTATAGAGCGCCTTAACACTATAACTCGATTACAAAGGTGGTATAGATGGTTCATACATACCTCTTCTCCTCCACATACTGGAAGATAGGGTAAACCAATACTCCAAGTTAACTGATAACGTCAACTGATAAATGTACGTTTAAACGTACGCACTACATTGAATAGTACACGTTAAGTAGCCGCCGCTGCCACCACACGTGTCCTTGACTATTACTTTAACAGATTTATTTAAAATTACAATATTATAATATATTATATGCAATTAAAATATAACATTTTACAATACCTCATATTTGACACGGCACCGCCTTTTGATCTAGGCTGGCGCTCACCCGTGTCTCTCTCGATATCAGCCGTCCAGCCATTAATATGACAATCGGTTGTCATCGGTCGTCTCCCCGCCCTTGACACTGAGATAAGGCCACCGCCGAATATGGATTACCGATATTGCTTTCTGTTCCGTTTTCGACGTACACCTCAACTGGTGAGTTATTTTTGGTGTTGTTCCGTTTCCGACGTATAACTTTACTGGTCGATTATTTTTTGGTTCTGATTTGCATACACTTTTGTGACTTTTGTTTTGTTAATTTGTGTTGTCTGACGAAATGCAGTGTACATATATATACATATATATTTATATATAAATACTTATCACTGGTCTAAACTTACATTGATACTTTCTTATAACTAACTATTGTGTCTTAGCATTATATACACATAGTTAAGTATCTAATACCCTATAACTAATATACATTTATATCTGCGGGATTGCGTTACGCGCCACTCGGTCGTCCGTACCTTTTCTCTGGATTACGCGATAATATTATTTGGCAATTAGATGTATCAATTTTTATATATGAAAATTTGACCTGCAGTTAAAAAAAAAAATGATTATATCAAATAAATATAAATTTATTTTGTAGTTAATTCTACTTACCCGGTATATAACTTTAGTACAATTTTATCATCTAAAAAGGTTAAATTATTATTTAATAATTGTTACGACGTAAAAATAAAACATTTACTAAAATGTTACATTAAAACACTGTAACTACACGATAGTTAAACAACTTAATAATGGATAAAAATATTTAACTATATGGGATAGTAGTACCAACGTAGAATTAGCGTTAAACCCGATGTGGTTTAAAAGGTTATGTTAAAACTTAACATAATATCAATCAACATTAGTAAAAATTATTTTTGTTGGTCATATCACACGATAACATTATCGTATTATAGAATTGTATCCAGTCTCTACACTACGATGAAGAGAGGCTTGGAAATTAACTTATCAGTATTAAAGCTTGCTATTAATAATACAGTTAAGACCATAGAGTAATACTATGATTAAGACCCGATTTGAATCTATTATTATTATCACTCAATTAGTGTGTCGAAAATTATTATTGCTATCTTACTTGTCATATCTTGGTCAATAATAATTAGTGTATATTACACTATAGAAAAATAGTGACTTCTGTATTGAAAACATTAAAACAACAATAGAAATTTAGTCCAAAATTATTTAACTTTAACAAGCTGTAACAGACGAACGGTTGATCGGAAAAAAAAAATTGTAAGAGCAAAGTTGTTTGTATTTTTATGTTCAATCATAATAACAAATTCAAAATAGGGGTTCCCATTTAAGAAAATGCAAATTAATGTTTTTTAACCTTGAAGGGATCAAAAAAATTATGTTTTTACTACATATTATTGTAGAGTTTTTTGAATCAAAAAATATTTTCCTTACCAAAAATTAAAAATTTTCAATAGTTACCGAGAAAATGAGTGTCTTATCCTTAATGAATCACCCTGTATATTAATAATATACAATGTATATCTAAATTGATGACTAATAGACAATGATTTATAGACTAAGTAATAATAAGTGGTGAACGCATTATAACAGTATAAATACACTTTTTTAACTTGATCTTTTATTTGCTTTCAGGAGAAGATTCAAAATAGCTTTTCTAAAAAATTAAAGCTAAAATTTATGGTGATGAATTATTTTTTTTTATTATAATCTTCTTCTTTTCCTTGCCTTAATCCCAACTACTTGGGATAAAAAAGTGGTTAAAAAGATCTACTCAATAGCGTACTATAAAATTTGATTATATTTGTAAAAATCCATTGTTAAATCAGGAGAAACTAACAATCATTTTTTGTAGAAATGATTTATATAGCATCATGTTGACAAAAAATTTGGAATATTATAGTCTAGTAGTAACACACAAATACAGTAAAAAATGTATTAAATTACAAAGTAAAATTATTTAATTTTGGAGTTGAAACCAATTATATCAAATTATCATATCAAATTTGATTCGTCAATAAACACTTTGAAAACATTACAAATTAATGATTTTAATTGTCTTTATGGAGAACATGGGATAAGTAACTGTTTAATTGATGAATTAGAATTAATTTTTGAGGGTAATATCTTCAACTAGATACGAATTGTAGTCATTTGACGTATCGTTGAAAAAAGTAGGTAAAGTTAGAGCAGAGAAAATAAATGATAGTCACAAAAAAATATTTTCTCAGCTTTGCATCGAAGCTAAAACTTAAAATATAGTAAAATAATTTTAATATGAATAAAAAATTTCTTCTTGCGAGTGGCGACTACAGTGATGGGATCCTTGATCTANTTCTTGCGAGTGGCGACTACAGTGATGGGATCCTTGATCTATATTGAAGTTATTGAATCTAAATGAGATAAAAATCAAACGAGTTGAAAATTTATTCTAACTTATTCTAAAAAGAATTAAGAAATAAATGCAAAATATTTCCTTGCCATACGAGGGGGTTGAAACCTTGTACTCCAATTGCGTCAGACACGTGTTTTACCTACTCAACAACTGTACATCGCTTCCGCCGATCGAAAAAATGGCAATTTAAGCTAATTCAAATTTCAATGTTAATTTTCACGACTTAAAAAAAGCCAAAAAGTTTAAATAAGTTTAACTTTCTATACTATATCAATTTTATTTATATAATATTAATGAAAATCTGTGTACTCCCCTTGTCAGGTATTAAAAAATAAAATAAAATACAAAACCCAGAATTTTAACACAAAAATAGCACATTTTTGAATACGGTAGTCATTTTTACCATGAAGATAAATCCAGAGGTAAATTTTTTTTTTCAAATTAAAGTATATTATATAAGCTTTAATTAAAGATATATATAAAAGTGTCAAACTTTCTGGAACACATTCAAAAGTTAAGTTGAAAAAGTTCCATTCTATACGCATTTTAAAAGGTTTTTACCCCACCTATTATAGGGAAATGGTTCGATTTAAAAAAAATGTATGTCGAATGAAAGAGGTAAATATAAAGTATTTATCATTAAGGAATAAAATTAATTAATGCATTTTTTAAAAAGTTATAACAACATAATATTAAAAATGTAAAATGTAATATCAAGAATTTTTTCACAAAAATTGCATAATTTTGCATACGGTAGTCATTTTCACCATGAAAACAATTCCAAAGGTAAATACCTTAGGTATCTATAAAAAATATATATATAATCATTCAGTTGTTTTTAAAAGCTCTGGCAATTTTAAGTAAAAAAATTGAAAAAATGTCGAAAATTAGTGATTTTTAAATTTGTAATTTTTTGGAGGATTTCCCCCGTATACTAGGAACTAGGGAATTTTTTTTAAATGTTGAGGGTAATGTCTTCTACTAGATACGATTTGTGATAATTTGACATATTTTTCATCAAAATTGGTCCAGCGAGAGCTGAGATTGAGCGTATACAAACACAAAAAAAATAAAAATAAAAAGTAAAAAAAAAAAATCACATCATAGTAAAATTTATACCTTCTCAGCTTCGTATTGAAGCTAAAATACTTTGAGGTATATTGTATTTTAGAATCTTTCATTAAAAATCTTGATTTCTTAAAAAATCAAAATGGATTTACAAATTTTTGTCTTTCAATCAATTATTCTACTAGAATTATTTTTCATGACAGATAAAAAAACACTTGATTGTACTCTAAACCAATAAGCAATATATATAATTATGATTTCATTACTGATGTTATTTTATAAATGATTCATAATAGTTGAAATAAATGATTCATATTCCAATATAATAAAATGGCATAAACAGTATAAACTAAGATTTACATTTAATAAAATTATTACTATATTTATTCAAATTATAAAAAAAGTTTTAAATTCTACTACATTTGCATGTCGTTTAATTCGACAAATTTTAACTTCTCGTATAATTTTATGTAGTTTAGTTCTTTTACAATTTACTAAAAATATATATATTTCATTGTAATTGAATATAACTAACATACATAAGTATTTCCTTCGACAACTAATTAACATTCTTATTCTTTAAATAAAAAGAATTTATAATACAATATAAAAATAAAAGCTTGTATTATAAAAAATATTTTTTCTAACATATTGATGATAAAAAAAAAAAAATTAATTATAAATATTGAATAGTTATAAAAATTATTCTAAGGTCCATTTCAAATATATTCTTTCATGGACACCGTAATGTAGACCTAATGATCGTTATAAAATATGTAATATGAAATGAGTACCAAAAAATAAAAAATTAAGGCACATATAATAAAACTAAAACTAATAGCATTATTTGTCTATAAATAGTAAATTTAATGGTCTAGTTATATATTTTGGAAACCACATTATATTTCTTTCTTTTGGAAATTATATTAATGTATCAGAAAAAATTTTTGGAAACTCAACCTCTCATCAATGGCTAATTAATATTATCATTAAAGTTATTTATTTTACTTCACCTTCAAGTATTTTCATTTTTACCCTAGTTTCCTTTACTCTACTGTCTAATATGTATGTCATATTAAGAGATCAACCAGTAACATAGCCCATTGATGTTTTATACAGGGAACTTCTATGTTCTTTAACATAGTTAATAATTATTTCTTGTGTCAGGTCTATACTATGCTGAAACACTAAAGCTGCTTTAACTGAATTCAAATAATGATATAGGTGGATTGATTTATTTGGTCAATTTAGACTAATGTTTTTTTGGCTAAAGTATTAGAAATAAATTTTCTAACACTTCCTATTACTTTATTAGCAATAGTTTTATCATTAATATCAAGAGGAATTTTTTATATCAGACCATACAATAGTCATATTTCAATATGTAAAAAGTACTTTATGCAAAATCGAATTATTTAAGTTATGATTTTTATTTATATTTTATATCTTTAATCAGTTTTAAAAGATAAGTCGTTCAAAAAAATTTAATTTTGTTTTTGAAATTTCTTGAATGACGAAATTGTGTAACTTTACGTACATAAATAATTATTGCAATACTAAAATAAAAACCAAGTGTTTCTCTCAAAACTCGTTTGTATTAAAACTGTATAAAATGGAAGATTAACGTCGATTATTATTACTTTAGTATCGTTATACTATTAATAACAAATTTATTTTACAGATTTAATAGTCTTCAACTATTTACTTATTTATCTCAAAAAAATGTTATTTCGATTCTTCATTTTAAATTTTTATAATTTTTGGATTTTAAATCAATGTTTGATGGTTTTCTGTAGTTCAAGTTCAAATTCAGGCATAGACGACAAATATGTTATCAATGCATTCAATACTATTCGTCAACAGATTGGATGGGATTTAGATAGGTCATATGGGTTCTGCATCGGTGAAAATAGTTATCAGTATTATAATATGGAAGAAATTATGTCAGAAATTAATTCAAGTAATTTTTTAGAAAAAATACCAAGGATAAACAAATTAATAATTCTTAGATACACTGAATATTTGAAAATATTTGGACGTTTATTGAACAGTTTTGTTCAGTTTTGCCACCATAAACAACATTCAGAAGAAGATTTCATTCATTGTTGTAATGAGTTGCGGAATATAGTAACCATATCAAATAGAATGTTTTTAAAATTTTTATATGTCGCTATTTTCTTAGATCATATCAATTCTTATCTAAATACGAATCATAATTTAAATTTAAAAAGTATTATTACTCATATAGGGGTATTTTATAGTCTGGCATTAAAAAAACCTTTTAAAATTATAAGATTAAGAACTGCTAAGAATATGGTAAGAATTTTGAAAAATTTTATTACTTATACAATAGACAAAAAAATATCTGAACTTGACCAAATAAATAAATCCGCGATATATAATACTCACAATTCAGCTCATGCATCTTTAGAGGTCCAATATAGTATGAGCCGGTTACAAGAAATAATTACTAACACTGTTGAACGACATAAAACTATTTTAATTAAATTTTATAAGGAGACACTTCAAGATGGATATTACGATTTGGGCTTTGACAAATTGATTGTTGATAATACTAAGCAGTAAGTTTTTATATTAAAAATCAAAAATGTACCTAAAAACTGGACTAACATAAGTTATTTTTTTAAAGAAAACATAAAAATAGAAAAATGTAACTTTTTTAAATCGTTACAAAAATTTAAATTAAAGTACGGCTAGTTTATAATACCTTACTTTTTTTCTGTATATTATGTCAAATTACGTTAGATGATACAAACTTAAGTTTGGACTTCAACTCTACAAACTCTAATAAAATATGGAAAGGATCATTGTAACAAAATTTTACTAATATAAACAAAATTAAATTTCGTAAATAAATATTTAATAACCTGAAAATCATATTTTTTGGAGTCCGATAGAATGGTCATTAGTAGTATAAGAAAAATATTTTTTTAATCATATTTTAGGTCTTCGTAATCATAGCATTTATTCTAATACATATAAAACTAAGGTATGTAAAATTATTTTACATTTATTTAACTTATTAAGTCAAACCTAACACGTACATCAAGATGGTTAAATATTTAAATTTGAAGTCAGCTTTTTTTTATTTATCACATGAGATATCCTAATTACAATAAAAAAATGTTTTTTTATTATAAATGNATAAAAAAATATATATAAAGTTCTTTTATTATAAATATGATATTTTCTAAAAAAGAGTTATTACAAAAATTTGATTAAATTTAAAAAAACCCAGCACGAGGGGGGTCATGGCACAGTGGTGACGTGGCATAGTTGGATCAAGTATCATGATCTGCTAGTTCCTTATTAATATCCTGATTAAGATAAAGTATGTCGAATGAAAAAGGGATTATTAAAAAATATTATTTCTCATAAAAAAATTATGTTGATCCATATACTTTTCAATAAGTTATAGCATTATAGAGTTAAAAATTAAAAAAATAAAATCGAGAATTTTCACACAATAATAGCATTTGGTAGCCATTTTCACCGTGAAAACAAAATAAAATTTGAATTTTTTTTTTGCATAATAAATTACATTACATTAGCTTTAATTTAAGATATATATAAAAGTGTCAGACTTTCCGGAAAACTTTCAAAATTTAAATTTAAAAAGTTAATTTTTTGTGAAAAAGTTGAATCCTCCCCTGTAGGCAGGTAAAAAGTCAGATTTATAAAAAAAATATACCAAATGAAAGGTAATGATATCATGCATCTATATTTAAAAAAAACCCAGCACAGGGGGGTCGCGACACAGTGGTGACGTGACATAGTTGGATCAAGTATAATGATATCTGACAGTGATTAAAATCACTATCAAAAAAAAAAGGCTTCGATGCAAATCTTTAGATAGTGTTTAATTTTAAAAAATTGGTGGATTATTCCAAAAGCTTCATAAACTGCTAGTTCCTTATTAATATCCTAATTAAGATAAAGTATGTCGAATGAAAAAGTGATTATTAAAAATAGTATTTCCCATAAAAAAATTATATTGATCAATACACTTTTCAATAAGTTATAGCATTATAAAGTTAAAAATGTAAAAAATAAAATTGAGAATTTTCACACAATAATAGCATTTGGTAGCCATTTTTACCGTGAAGATAAAATAAAGTCCGAAATTTTTTTTTTCCATGATAAAGTATATTACATTAGCTTTAATTTAAGATATATATAAAAGTGTCAGACTTTCCGGAACACATTCAAAATTTAAGTTGAAAAAGTTAATTTTTTTTGAAAAAGTTGTCATTTAAAATCCCCCCTTGTGGGCAGGTTAAGGGTTAAATTTATGAAAAAAATATACCAAACGAAAGGTAATGATATTACACATCTTTATAAAAAAGATTTATATTGATATGTTCATTTTTAAAAAGTTATGGCAATTTTAAGTAAAAAAAAATTTTAAAAATGTCGAAAATTAGCGATTTTTAAATTTGTAATTTTTTTGGAGGTTTCCCCCATTAACGGGGAACGAGGGAAATTTTTTCAATACTTGAGGGTAATGACTTTGACTAGATATGATTTGTGATCTTTTGGCGTATCATTAAAAGAAATCGGTTCGGTGAGAGCTGAGAAAAAGTGGTAACAGACACAAACAAAAATAAAAAATAAACACATCTTAGTAAAACCAATACCTTCTCAGTTTCGCATCGAAGCTAAAAGAAGTGAACTATGTACATAATATACAGAATGTTCAGTAAGTCAGGAAACGGGTTTCTATTGTTCTCATTGTTACAAACAATGAAAACATTAGAAACCCGTTTCCTGACTTACTGAACACCCTGTATGTTTAACCTAATATCCAATCTTTACAGATTTTTTTCATATCTCCTTTAATTAGTTGTTAAAGGAAAATTTTATTTTATTGCTTAAATATTTCTAAACATATAATAACTGATCATTAATATTATTTATAACTAAAAATACTTTTAAAATATGAATTTAAACCTAAAAAATATTTAACTCAAAAAGTTAATACAAGTAAAACAAGAATATTAAATATTAGAGCTACGATTTATCGGTAGTATTGCATGGACGTGTTTATCTCGTGTAGGTTTGTAGTCACTCGCTTATTTTTAACACGCTTATATTAGTTTAACATGTATGTTGTGTGTTGTTTGTAGCCTTGAGACTAGACTGTCGTAACGCATTCACCCCTCCCCGCTCCCACACAAAACTATATTTTTCTATATAATTTTATTTTTGGTTTTCGTACCCGTATACGCGTGCGTGTCATATATATATATATAAACAAATCTTTATTTTGACCGCACGCGTGCCATACCCCTTAAGTAAACATATTTAAATAATAAATAATTCAAGAATAATGTGTAACTAAAGATATTTGAAAAAAAAAATTTTAATTTATTATTATTCTGTAAGTAATTGAGTGGGTTAAGATAAAGAAATTACCCTGTATAATATTTGAGTCATAGGTCAAGACAAAAGGATCTTTAAAGAAATTTTTGGGAAGGTATAGCATGTTTTGGGGTATTTCCGCAATATTCACAGATTAAACTAAACGACGTAACGCATATAGTACTACTTGTTTAACCAGCGTACGTTATTCATATAATTAGGTTATAACGACATTTGATATATTTTCACACGGTAGAGCATCACACTCTGTTTATGACATTTTATGATTACAGTCCATTCACGCATTATTAAAATCATGTTCATTAATAGATATTATTCAATATAGGCGTATATTATCACAAATTATGAACCACCATACCCATTATAACGAAGAACATGAAAATGATAATTTTGACAATATAGAAGATTATACAAAATTTGATGATGAAGATTTAAAACGAGATTCTAAGATGGTCAATAATACTATCTAAATTTAGATACGACGATTGGTTTGAACAATAAACATTATTTTTTTGATATTACAAAAAAGAAAAATTGTTTATTAATTAAGTTAGTTATTATTTTATTATATAGCTTTTAATTCAAAAGTAGTAACATAAAAAAAATTTATTTTTATTGATCCAGTGATTAAACTGCATATAATGTTAATGACAGGATTTGAAAAATCAATTTTTTTTGTTTCGAACAGTTTTTAATTGATTTTTATGTTTTTTTTTTTATAAATAAAAAAAATTCTGTTTTTGAGTTGTTTAAAAAATATATATAGTATATTATTTTAACTAATTTAATTTATGTTGATTGGAAGTAACTAATAAAGAACTTAAATACTATACGTTGATTTCATATTGGTCAATCTGTTTAAGATATCCAAATTAAACTTTATTATAATTAATGCTCTAAAATTAATGAATTTTTTTTAACGATTAATGGTAATACTAAATTTTAAATAAATTTATTTTATAAGGTTTTCAAGTAGTATACGAAATTTGTATTTTGTTTTTTATTTTTGTAATTTTTTTCATATTATGTAATAAACCAAAAAGAAAAAAAGAAAAAAAAGAATGTAAAAGAAAATGGTTAGAATTTAGAATTATAAGATGAGATGAAGGTGATGAAATAGGCGGTAGGTATTGGGGACGAATGGTAATAAAAATTATTAAATAAGATAATGAAAGGCGGAGTAACACATGTTTAAATGTGGCAAGATATGTAAGGGTACAAAGAATATAATGATATGAATAAAGAAGAATTTAGAGGGGTGAATAAACGGAGTCTAAATACATGAGGGTAATAATCAAATAAATAAAAATGCACACAAACGTTGTGACAAAAAATAATAAATTGATCTCGGGGTTGAACAATATTGAATAAATGAAGTCAATTATCCTACAAAACTTTATTACCTATCTTAATGGTTTATTACGCAATAGATTATTTATAATTTGAAAGCGGGAATTTAAATTGTACTTACCTTGTATCCCACGTAGTGTAATGTTTATTTTAGACAATCCAATGTTGATTATGAGTTCACACTGTATTTCACACGTTGTACACTTTGAGTTCGACAGTAAATATGACCATTTGAGAATGAGCGTTTAATTATAAATAATACGAAACCGTTACACAAAATCTATGACTGTACTATTATATGCAAGAGATTCTATACACTCTATATTTTTATAATTATAAACAAATAATGTATCTCTAGTTGACTTTGTAGAATGAGTATATTGTTTGAGAGATTATATTTTATTGAGAGATCGACAACAATATTTCTTAAATTTTCCTCTGGCCTGGCCAAACAAGATTCAGAAATATTTATNATATTTCTTAAATTTTCCTCTGGCCTGGCCAAAACAAGATTCAGAAATATTTATATCTATGTAAAAGATTTGTCAGGGCGGAATTGTGGTGGCCCAATGTGTCCCGGTGCTAAATTAAAGCACCTTGAAAGGATGCGGCACAATAATCACCAAGACAAAAATTAAACACTAAAAACATATATTTGTAAGTTTCTCTGTGCTGTCTGCCGGCGCGATGTTCGTTAAAACAAAGACATTAAACCACAGAAGATTAGCTACCCAATACACATAGGCTTACAAATATATTCTAACCTAACACACCTAACTTTAAAAATCTTTAATTGCAACCTTTTCTCTGTCTGCCGGCGCGATGTTCGTTAGAACAAAGACATTAAACCACAAAAGATTAGCTACCCAATAAGTATAGAGTTGCAATACACTTAGTCATGTAATAAATATTTATCATTAACTGAGAAAATTAGAGTTGATTCGATTTTATTATATATATATATAAAAAAAAAAATGTTTTTGTTTTAAAATATTAATTGACATTTATTTCCATGGTAAAATAAAAATAAAATATTATTATTTAATGAACAAATTAAATTAAAATAAAAGATTCACCAAAAAAAAAATTCACTTTAAAATCTCTAAGTGTCATTTAGTTTTTTTTTAAGAAAAATATTCTAAGTCCAAATTAATTAGAAAAACAACTAAGTGTTTTAAAAGTGTCGCAGATTTTGTGTATCTTAAAATCGCCGAAAGAACTGATTTTAATAGGAAAAAAAACCCAGCACAGGGGGGTCGCGGCACAGTGGTGACGTGGCATAGTTGGATCAAGTATAATGATATCTGACAGTGATTAAAATCACTATCAAAAAAAAACGCTTCGATGCAAATCTTTAGATAGTGTTTAATTTTAAAAAATTGGTGGATTATTCCAAAAGCTTCATAAACTGCTAGTTCCTTATTAATATCCTGATTAAGATAAAGTATGTCGAATGAAAAAGGGATTATTAAAAAATAGTATTTCCCATAAAAAAATTATATTGATCAATACACTTTTCAATAAGTTATAGCATTATAAAGTTAAAAATGTAAAAAATAAAATCGATAATTTTCACACAATAATAGCATTCTCGGTAGCCATTTTCACCGTGAAAACAAAATAAAATTTGAATTTTTTTTTTGCATAATAAATTACATTACATTAGCTTTAATTTAATATATATATAAAAGTGTCAGACTTTCCGGAACACTTTCAAATTTTAAGTTGAAAAAGTCGATTTTTTGTGAAAAATTTGTCATTTTGAATCCCCCCCCTGTAGGTAGGTAAAAAGTCAGATTTATAAAAAAAATATACCAAATGATAGGTAAAGACATCATGCATCTACAAAAAAAAGAATTATATTGATCCATACATCTTTCAAAAAGTTATAGCATTATAAAGTTAAAAATATAAAAAAGAATTTTTTTACAAAAATCGTATTTTTTTTATTAAGTTTAATGTCTGTTTTCACCATGAAGATAAAATAAAGTCCGAAATTTTTTTTTACCATTATAAAGTATATTACATTAGCTTTAATTTAAGATATATATAAAAGTGTCAGACCTTCCGGAACACTTTCAAAAGTTACGTTGAAAAAGTTCTACTTTCTATATGCATTTTTATGTTTTGAATCCCCCCTGTATTTAGGGAAATGGTCCGATTTAAAAAAACAGTATGTCGAATGAAAGATCTATATAAATACTACTTCTCATAAAAAAATTGTAATGATTCATACATTTTTCAAAAAGTTATAGCATAATAAAGTTAAAAATGGAAAATACAAAATCGAAAATTTTCACACAAAAATAGCATTCGGTAGCCATTTTCACCATGAAGATAAGATAAAGTCCGAAATTTTTTTTTTTCATGATAAAGCATATTACATTAGCTTTAATTTAAGATATATATAAAAGTGTCAGACCTTCCGGAACATTTTCAAAATTTAAGTTAAAAAAGTCAATTTTTTGTGAAAAAGTTGTCATTTTGAATCCCCCCCTGTAGGCAGGTAAAAAGTCAGATTTATAAAAAAAATATACCAAATGATAGGTAAAGACATCATGCATCTACAAAAAAAAGAATTATATTGATCCATACATCTTTCAAAAAGTTATAGCATTATAAAGTTCAAAATATAAAAAAGAATTTTTTTACAAAAATCGTATTTTTTTTATTAAGTTTAATGTCTGTTTTCACCATGAAGATAAAATAAAGTCCGAAATTTTTTACCATTATGAAGTATATTACATTAGCTTTAATTTAAGATATATATAAAAGTGTCAGACGTTCCGGAACACTTTCAAAAGTTAAGTTGAAAAAGTTAATTTTTCTTGAAAAAGTTGTCATCTAAAATCCCCCCTTGTGGGCAGGTTAAGGGTTAAATTTATGAAAAAAATATTACACATCTATATAAAAAAGAGTTATATTGATATGTTCATTTTTAAAAAGTTATGGCACTTTAAAGTAAAAAAAATTGAAAAAATTTCGAAAATTAGCCATTTTTAAATTTGTAATTTTTTCGGAGGTGGGGGAAACCTCGGGGAACGAGGGAATTTTTTTCAATTTTTGAGGGTAATGTCTTCGACTAGATACGATTTGTGAACTTTTGACGTATCATTGAAAGAAATCGGTTCGGTAAGAACTGAGAAAAAGTGGTAACTGACACAAAAAAAAAAAAAAAACACATCATAGTAAAACCAATACCTTTTCAGCTTTGCATCGAAGCTAAAATGGGTTTTTATAGTAGACGAGGGTCGTGTAGCGATTCCTAGTGTGATCTTAGAAACTATAGATCTTAATTAATAGTTAAATGTGATTGGCTGGACCTAATTGAAAACCCACACATGGGCGTTACTTTTAATCTGTACGATAATCAGATTTAATTGACTAAATTATTGATTATTTTAAGTTTTAAATAAGGGAACCCTGTTTTGGTGATCTTGTAAATTCATAATATATGACATACATGTACAAAAGATAACATAATATAATATTTTAATATTATAAGTAATAATATAATATTACAATTATGTTTGCATTTAATTTTATTGTATTCTATTTTTCAGTAGGTAATTAAAAAAATTTTAACCTTTTTTTATTTAAAAATTACGTTTCATCAAAAAACATTGAAAACTCAAAAATATATTTTAAACTATAAGTCATTACAAGAGCTGTTTTAAAAAAACTAGCACAGGGGGATCGTGGCACAGTGGAGCGTGTCATAGTTGGGTCCAATATAGATTTAATCTGATAGTGATTAAAATCACTATCATAAGAAACGCTTTGATGCAAATCTGTAGATAGTGTTTAATTTAAAAAAATTGATGGATAATTACAAAAGCAACATTAATTTCTATTTCCTTAATTATACCCAGATTAGTAATTCTTTTAATTATATATTATATAATTTTTTAAATTAATTGTTTTCAAATTATTATTGATTTTGATTTTTAATATGTTAAAAGTAACCATTTTAAACCTAATTTTTATTGCCCTTTAAAGTGAAAGTTTTAATAAAATACAAAATGAATTTATTACCATAACATTTAGCTCAACTAGCAAGTTTGACATTGACATTATTAAATAGAAAAAAAAGAAAGTGTTAAGATTAATATGCAATCAGGAAATTTTATAATTACTAATTACAATACATTTATCAGAAAATTTCGATTTTTTTTACATTTTTATCGTAATAGATCACATTTAATAAAAATCATAGTAATCATTTCTAATTAACTTTTGGCGTTTAAAAAGATGTTACAATGGAAATATTCAGAATTTAATTAATTTTAATGATTATATAACTAAAAAAAACAATAAAAAAAG